TTTTCAGCAGTCCCATGATTAGTCTGTTAAAACAGTAAACATCCCTACTAAAGTACCGGGATCCTCACTTCACTATTATAGACTCACCCGACTGTCCATTCTCCATAGTTTGGGTCTGAACTGTATATGAAATGGCGATGTAAAGTTCTGGTTAATCAGTTAACTATTAGGTCAACCTAACATTCAATCTATTAAGTGGGATCCCAGATTGGGGGCTGCTCCAGCCTGGTTGGTACAGTCCACAGGGCTCCTGTTCCTAGCCCTCATGTAGGGCCTGAGGCTGCCACCGGCTCCTGCTAGAGCAGCCCTTGTCCGAGGTGGGTTGGACTCCCTGTGGACAGAGGCTTCCCCTACTTGTGGAGCGCCTGGACCCGCAGCATCTGGCACAGCCCCTGCCCATGGCAGGTGGGTAGCTGCTCCCTCCCTCACTGGCTACCAGTTAACTCTGTGGTGTCCAGCATGCTAGCCGCTAACCCGGGGTGGGCAGAAGCCTCAGTGGGCCAGATCTAGCACGTCTTGGGCTTTGATATGGCCCATGAGGCAATTCCAGGCCCCGTCCCCTAACAGGTGTGCACCACAGGGGAAGGAGCTCAGCTCCGCCACTCCACCCCCACGGAGCTGCTGGAGAAGAGGCAGCACTGGGGCTGAGGCTTCTCAACAGGGCTGGCACTGGAGGCATCCCTCCCTCAGCCATGTGAGAGGACACGAAGCCAGAGAAGGTTTTCTCCCCCTCTCATGCCCAGACCCTCCCACCCCAATCCTGTCCCTTCCCTCCCTCCCAAAACCCCTGTTCCCCCAGCTTGTTCCAACACCCTCCCTTGTTCTTGCACCCTCTCTTCTGGCCCCACACTGCACCCTCCTTTGTTCCTGCTCCCTCCACTTGGCTAGATGCCCTACTCCCAGCCTGCTTCTGCACCCCATCCTCTCCCCCTCTCATGCCCAGACCCTCCCACCCCAATCCTGTCCCTTCCCTCCCTCCCAAAACCCCTGTTCCCCCAGCTTGTTCCAACACCCTCCCTTGTTCTTGCACCCTCTCTTCTGGCCCCACACTGCACCCTCCTTTGTTCCTGCTCCCTCCACTTGGCTAGATGCCCTACTCCCAGCCTGCTTCTGCACCCCATCCTAATCCTACTTGCTGGCAGCCTTGTCTCTTGCACTGTACCCCTCATCTCCCCCTCCCCACTCTGGAGCCTAAGGAGGTCCATAAAATCCGCTAACTCCAGAACACCAGAAAAAAAATCTGGTCTATGGGAAGCCTTGTACCTCAGTTACCCCATTCCCTGGGGCTGTGTCTACACTGGGCCGCTTTTCCGGAATAAGCTGCGAGCTGTCTACACTGGCCCTTGAATTTCCGGAAAAGCAACGATGCTCTACTGTACAAAATCAGTTGCTATTCCGGAAAAACTATTCTGCTCCTGCTCGGGCATAAGTCCTTATTCCGAAACACTGTTCCGGAAAGGGGCCAGTGTAGACAGCTAGTAGTCTTTTCCGGAAAAAAGCCCCGATCGCGAAAATGGCGATCAGGGCTCTTTTCCGGAAAAGCGCGTCTACATTGGCCACAGACACTTTTCCGGAAAAAGGGTTTTTCCGGAAAAGCAGCCTGCCAATGTAGACGCTCTTTTTCCGGAAATACTTATAACGAAAACTATTCTGTTTTAAGCATTTCCGGAAATTCATGCCAGTGTAGACACAGCCCCTGGGTATGTCTAAACAGAAAAGTGTCAGAGGGGTAGCCGTCTTAGCCTGAATCTGCAAAAGCGGCGAGGAGTCTTGTGGCACCTTATAGACTAACCAAAGTGTTGGAGCATAAGCTTTTGTGGGCAAAGACCCACTTCGTCAGATGTGACAAAGTGGGTCTTTGCCCACGAAAGCTTATGCTTCAACACTTTGGTTAGTCTATAAGGTGCCACAAGACTCCTCGCCGCTTTTGCAGATTCAGGCTAAGACGGCTACCCCTCTGATACTCATTCTACAAGGTAGACTCTGGCCACCGTGCCTGTGCCAGCTCCAAGCCTGCATGCCCAGAGTCAGCAGTCACTGCCCCATACCTAGTGGCCCCAAAACCTGAGCCAGCAAGCCACTAGCAGCCAGCCCTTCACTGCTCCACAGGAGCAGTCTGCTAGCTCCCGGGAGCCTTCCTGTTACAGGGTGGAGATCATGGACCTTATTCAGGGGGGGGGGGGGATACCCCAACATCCATGATCTCCACACTAGATGGAGGAATGTGGCCGTCTATGGCAGGCTAGCTGCCAGCTTGGCCACCAAAGGCCACATGAGAACCTAGGAGCAGGTTTGCATGATAATCAAGTTGGTCTGGTGAGACCCCCCCCCTCCTCCCGCAGCCCTGAGCTTCTCTTCCCACTGCTTCCCCTTTCCAGCTCCCTCCTCCCAGGTTTCCCCCTCCCTTCTCCCACCCTCTCTTCTCCCCTCTCCTGCCTCCTTTCCTCAGTCTCACCAGAGTTTCATTTTCTCCCTCCCCCCAGTTTTGTTAAATAAAGGGAGTTTGTGTTCATGGAAAAAAATACATGTATTTTATTTGACATCAGGAAGGGGAGGTTAAGGAGGGGTAAGTGGAAGGATGTGAGGGAGAAATGTGACACAAGCCCCCAGTGGGGCAAACCAGGGAGGCTCTTAGTGCTCCTCAGGGTGGAAGCTCTCCCACAGGGCCTCCTGGATACTGACAGCCCGTTAAATAAAGGGAGTTTGTGTTCATGGAAAAAAATACATGTATTTTATTTGACATCAGGAAGGGGAGGTTAAGGAGGGGTAAGTGGAAGGATGTGAGGGAGAAATGTGACACAAGCCCCCAGTGGGGCAAACCAGGGAGGCTCTTAGTGCTCCTCAGGGTGGAAGCTCTCCCACAGGGCCTCCTGGATACTGACAGCCC